AATGGCCCATAAATTCATGCGTTATGGCAGAACCTCTCTGAGAGCCAGGGTGTGAGATCATGAAGAACTTCAGCTGCCCTCCGAATTTCCCCAGGAAAAACTAAAAGCGAAGGCAAAGCTACTGGGACTGCACCTCAGTTCAGGAGAGGTGASAGGGATGCCCTTAAAACCTCGAGTGATCAGTATCCTGCAAACACCAAACCCAAAGCATTTGGAATGGCAAGTTTTATCATGTGTAAAAGTTTCAGTGGTTAGGCCACAAATCATACAAGAAACTTCTCCCGACGAGTTGCGAGTGGCACAGCRCCGATGTTCCCTCGTCCTGGAGGCTCACCAGGAACCTCTGCAATGGAAAAGGACTCAGGATCCAAAAGGTGTTTGGGTTAGCTCAGTGGGGAGGGAAAGCAAGGTTACGTCTGTGGTTCACCACAAGCCTCCATCCCAAAATAGCCATCCCTGACAGTGCTSTGTGCAGGAAAATTCCACGGGAGCAGAGCCATCGGCAGAGCTTTCCCAGGCTCTGCGCACCCTGCTCCCCTCCACAGCCCATCCCTGGCACATTTGTCACCACAAGCCCCCTGTACATCCCCAGATGCTTGGAGGGTGGCAAATCCCAGCTGAGAAGCCCCTTTTCCCCCAGTACAGCCTGTGTGAGATCCCAGCAGTCGTTCTCTTCCTTTGCTCAGCTCTCCACCTCCAGCAGCTCAGCAGCACAACCTAGGGAGCTGCAACCACCTCACCCCTTCACCCCTTCTTGGCTCAGGGGGTAAATGTCTGGRCTGAAATTGGGTGGTGTTTGGTGGGGGGAAGATTTGCTGAAGAGGGCAGAGTTGGGGGAAACAGCTGCTGCCCCTCACATGCAGCCAGTGACCGGGATGCTGGAACAGGAGACGCTCTCTTTGAGCCCAGCCATAAACCCAACACTGCTCTTGACAAACCCCTTCTTTCTCGTTTGCTTTTGCAGATGAAAGTTAAGTCTAGAAGAGCTGCAAGCAGGGGCTAGACCCTCAAAAAGCAAAACTAACCACATTTAAGAAAATTTTGCATGCCTGCAGCTCTGCTACTCCTCACCACTTCAAATGTACCAGGTTTCTCTCTCATCCCACAATGAACTTCCACGACTTTTTTGCTAACCCTGCTCTTTGCTCCACAAACACTAGTTTTCCTCTAATGGATTAACATAATTGAATTAAACTTGGGCCAATTATTCCAGCAGTTTTCCTGCTAAGCTTAAAATTTGCTCCTTCTGAAGAAGGGCTTATGTGCCTAAAAGGCAGCCTGGTTTTTTTCCACCTCTATCATTTGGTCTAATAAAAGATATTACCTCTCCCCACAACCTGCACCTCTCTCTTGAGCACACTTGAAAGGAAAAAAAAATGTTTACCCAGCAAAGAAATGTAACTGGCAAGTTATTTCCCCTGGCTGACTCTGGTACCTTTGAAAGTTAATTGAGGGATCATAAAGAACTCGTTCTCCCTCCCAGCCCAGTGACTTCCAACACTCAAAGCCTCAGCCCAGAGCCTGTGAACTCCTAACCTGTTGYTGCAGCAACGGCTGCAACATCCCAGATGTGATGCAGGTCCAGCCCCACATTCCSCAGGTGCCCAAAGCACCCTAAATTTGAGCCCTGGGTATAATGGGTGCGGTGTCAGGAAAAGAGAATGAAACACTAACGGGCACCTTTGAACTCAGACACCTCTCAAAAATAACAAAACCTGAGCTAGAATGCCTGATGCCTGATTACAATGTAAAGTGCTGCAATTCAACATGAATTAATTTTTCCTCAATAGCTCTCAGCACACAAAGAGAAATTTAAGAGCAATAAGGAAGTAAAGAGCAAAAGCGTTGCCTTAGAGTGAGGAAGGAGAAAAACACAGCATGGGAGGGCTGAGACATCAATGAGACATCCATGGGACAGGGTCTGCTCTGCCCCCACCAGCTCTAGCAGTGCTCTCTGTTTCAGCAGCCCCCAAAAAACAGTAAATTGAGTTAAATGGCCACACCACGGCTGCTCAAAAAAGCCTTCAGGAGGCTGCTGTGCCTTCTGCCAGCCCAGCCTGTAATCACACACACTCTGTCAAGTCAATACTATAAACAATATCACTCTCCCATCTCCCACACCTCAGATGACCTTTCTGCTGAAGCAAAAGTCACACTTGCTCCAGCAAAGCAGACCTAAACCTCTGAGCTGTGTGGATGTAACTGAGCAGAACAGATTAGCCTTCCTGGAGTTTTTATCACCAGAAACACACATGCACGCACACAGCTTTTCATAACCACAACTAGGAATACTCAAATCATTTTTTAAAACAGAAAGAATAAAAGCTAAGCAGTAAATAAGCTGGTGCTTTTTGTACCAACTTCTGCAGGTTTTTTAACATTACTTTTACTGTAATGTCATGTTGAAACACAGCATTTTTAATACCTATTGGCCATGATGTTTGCACTGCCTTGCACTSRAGAGATGGACATCTTTAAAAGTGTYAAAAGGACTCTTTGATGAAATTATAAAGAGTCTTGGACCCTCAAGGAGAGGCTGCAGATGGAAGTGGACTGTGAGCTGAAGGAATAAAAAGACTCAGTGCTGAGGACTTAGGYTGGTCCCAAGCTGGCACACACAGGGATATTGTTTTGGACCTGCAACAACCCCAGKGTACCACGGGTTGGTCCAAGCACTGCACGACATCGAGACGCCAGGAGTCCCCACTTCCCGTCTTGTGGTCTCCATGCAAGGTCGTGCAGCTTCCCTAGAACGTGTCTAGGAGAGAACAGTCCTGTGCTGAACTCTGAGACACTGAGCAGATTATAAAYAGGATTCTGGAAAAAAAACTAGGTAGACCTGGAACGGCTCATCGGAGATCACCTCATCCAACACAACTCCTCTGCGGTCTTTTCCAGAAAAAAATCAATGACATGACTGAAAATTCCTTGCACTCCCTTGAAAATGCTCTCTCATCCCAATGCATGGAGTAAACAAACAAAATATAAAGGAAGAGGGAGAGAAGTGAAAGTAATAAACCCTCAAAATTTATCCCAAATTTCTGTGCATCAGCAGAGCTACTGCAGCAATTCTTAAACAAGCACCACTCATTAATACTGATGGAGACCCACAACACCTCACCCATCTCATCCTGACAGTCAAGCCACAGACCAGACTCAGGACCCCAACATGGTCCCATCATGGCAGATTAACCCCACACAGGTGTGGATACTGTTGGTGACAAGCCACAGTGATGACATCTGGGTGAGGGGACATGCACAGCACCTTCCTCCCACACACAAGTGCAAGCACAACTCTAAACCTGCACAAGATTCCTACTGATTCAGCTCACATTCCCAAAAACCAGCCACTGAGCTTTGCAAAAGAGAGCTCTCCTCACTACAGAATTTTCACAATTAACGCTGCCCTGCTGCATCTGTACCATGTTTGCAGCTGGCAGKCTGAAGGCACCTGGAACAGGTTCCACCAACCACTCTCTACACAAGAAACCGTCAAACTGACAATCTCCTGAGAACTGGACTGGAGCCTGCAACTCCTGCCTTGCTGGTGCTCAGTTCAAGTCTGAGCTTTCCTTCTTAAAAAACCCCACATTGCATTGACAAAGGAGTGTCTATTTCTAAATTTCCAAGAAATTTTGGGGTTAGTCAGGGATTTTAAACTGAAATTTGTCATTCTTTATATTGAAGAAGGAGATCTGGACTTTCTCTTCCCCTCCCATTTTYGGTTTTTTGTTTTGTTTTTTTTTTAACYTAGCTTTAAATGAGTTCTACACTCACAAAATCTCTCTTCTGGGTAACAGAGAAAGAGCAAAAAGAACAGACACATAAGGCCAAGATGGGGTAAATACCACTCTTTTCTTTTCTCCACAGGGGAGAATAAAGAGTTAAAGCATGGCAGGAGCTTCACACTTTCCATTTTTAAGTTCAAACCACTACCAAACTCTGAATCCCATATCTACAAGGCTTTTTATGAGGGCAAGTATGACAGGACAAGGGGAGATGGCTTCAAACTGACAGAGGGCAGGTTTACATTGGATATTAGGAAGAAATTGTTCCCTGTGAGGATGCTGAGGCCYTGGCACAGGGTGCCCAGAGAAGCTGTGGCTGCCCCTGGATCCCTGAAGTGTCCCAGGCCAGGCTGGACAGGGCCTGGAGCACCCTGGGACAGTACAAGCTGTCCCTGTCCATGGCCGGGAGTTGGAATGAGATGACCTTTAAGGTTCCTCCCAACACAAACCATTCTGGGATTCTGGGATTCTACACATCCACAAGAACAACCCTTAAAGTTACTGCTATTTCCCCCCACACCTCCTTTTTATTTCTTTTTTTAAAGCATTGTTTCAGCCATCCCTGAAAGGTTTTGGGCAAACTTGTGTAAATGCTGCAAATGTGCAAGTGAAGTGCTCAGCTTCAACCARGACTCCTCCAAGATCTCTCTTGGGTCATCAGGTCAAGAAGCCATTTAAGCACATCCAAGCAATCCCAATTTCTGACAAAAYGAATTTTCTTTAGGAAAATTCTCATCCATAGAGATAAGATCAAAATCATTATGCACCTCCAGAAATGTAAATAATTCCCACTTCAGGAAAGTTTCCCTGGGCACCACAGARCATCTGATACACAGCTGTTCCCGCAGAAGAGGGAGAAGGTAGAAGGAATCCAGGTCACCAATTAGAAAAGCAATATACTCAAGCTCTGTTTGAAAGAGAAMGTTCATTGGGAGAAGAGATACAGGGAATGAAGATGCTCTGAAAAGAAATACAAGGCACAGCTTGGGAAGAGACTCCACCTAGAACATGACCCACCAGATCACACCCAGAATAAGAAGAAAATTTGTCCAATTTTGACACCACTAAAATGCGAAAAATAAATTAGAAAGCAACGTAATATTCACTCAGAGCATATTTCCAATGTTCCCCAATCCATTGCCATTCTTGGTAGTCTCCACCAAAATTAACAGGCTACAGAAAATTAATTTYTTTGGGGAATCCAGTTCTTACCCATCTTTCCATCTACATCAGGCCTCCATTCCAGCAGTCCCAGACACTCGTGCCTTATCCTCCTCTCTCAAACATCCTGAAACAAACATACACAGAGGTTACAGATTAATTTGGACATGGCAATGGGGTCACTGCACAGGACGACTTCTCACAGAGCCCCTCCCCACCATCCCTGGGCTGGAGGACAGAGARGGACCTTTAGTTAGGAATGGTGACCAGGAGTCTGCCCTCCTCTGCACACACCCCAGGTAACACACCACAAACCTGGTGTCTTCACAGCTTCAAAATCTTAAATTAAATTACTTCCTTTCCTTAAGAACAGAGCATTCTAATTACATCATATTTTTAATGTGTTTTTACATGATCAATGTAATCCTAAATCAATACCATCTTTAACTCTTCTCATTCTGTAGCATCCCTGTGGGATCATGCTCACTGGAGGAACAGACTAACAGCAGGACATGGAAGGAGAGTCCCAGAGGCAGCCTGAATCAAAGCAGAAACCTAAATTTAGGCCTTCCAAACAGCAGCCAAGGCTCCTCAAGGCTGGACCAGCTTTCCTCTGATTGCATGGGAACAAAGCTGGGCACTGCTCTCAGCAGTGGCACATCCCTCAGAGCCCTTCCAGAGTTTCTGTCTTTAATCTGCCCCCAACACCAGCACAGAGGTGGGTTCAGTGACCTGCCATCCTGTATTTAATTGAATTTCTGCACCCAGGAAGACTTGGGGGGTTTTGGCCACCAAGAAACTAAAGCAGRCCTGAGCCTGCAGGAGCCAGTCCTGCTCACTAATGGAAAGCCTCATTTTAGACTGAACAAAGGCAAAACCCATCTGAAGATGGGCACCTTTTAAGGAACACTGTGACAGAAGACAAACTCAAAATTCTACTTTAGCTGCCTGATAAACCCTCAGATTTCTTGGTCATAAACCTGTGACAGCACAAGGAAAGGGAAACAAGAACTTGATCAGACTTGCACAGGGAGTAAGAGATTCCTGTCCTGCAGTCACTGCAGGTTGCCCCGAAGTCCATGAGCGCCAYGTGCTGCAGGTCACTGACACGGATCCTGGAATGTCACATTGGATGCATCAGTCAAAAATGGTAGGAAAAGGCATTTTTAAAACCTCCTGGCCTGGTCAAATTGATTCAAACACAGCAACAAATCTGAAGTGAACCTGGAACAGTCCCAAGCACGGATTAAAATGATTTTCTGCAGCTCTGGCGCCTCGGTGCTGGCAAGGATATTTATCCAACCTATAATGAGAGGGACGAGCAGGAAGGGAAGGTGATAACAGAGCAGCCGAGGCATCCATGTGCACCCAGAGCGTTGCTCCTTCTGCTGCTCAGCCTCCTCCCAGGACAGCACCACTCAGCCTGAGAGCCCAGGGCCACCAGGGACTCTGCTCTGTCCTTGCCTCACAAAGSGGGAGGCAATGAAGTAAATAAAAGGCTTGAAAGGTTAAAAATCCTACCTTGAGAAGGAACTAGTCAGTCTACRCAATGCCGAATCAAGAGGGAGCAGAAAACCAGCAACTAAGCAGGGTGAAAATTCCATCTGATTATAACAAGAGCAGGAAATGGCCCAAACCTTCACTTTTGCTTTCTAAAGTGATGTGACACTTCCAGGAATTAAGCTGTGTGCACRGTTTGCACCCAGGGCCACAGGCAGAGAGCCTGGATTAATTGTAAATTCCTGGGATAGCCCAGGTTAGCTCTCCCAGAGTGTCATAGATTTTTCTAATGGCTTTCTGGAGACCTTCCAGACCTTTCCAATCCATATCTAGTCACAAAAACACGCACCTACAGGAACTGTGCAAACGAGCCCTGGAAAAAAACAGGAGACCTTTCCATCAGCAGAGCCGTCCCCCATGCTGCTCTCCATCACCTCTGCCACAGCAAACCCCTGAGACACCCCTGCCCTGCCCTCCCCTTGTGAGCCAAYCAGCCCCTGCACACAGGGGCAGGAAATCTCCACGGATACACAACAGAAAGAAAGGTTTTCTGTTTTAGCAGATCTCTTCAATCCTGAGGACAGCCAGCCTTCAAACTGGACTGCAAACACTGGTGATTTCCGTGGCTTCCCAAAAATACATACCAGCAGCTTCCTGTTACAGAAGGACAAATTCCTGTTTCTAGTACAAATTCTGCCCTATTATTGTGTCCCTTGAAAAACAGGGAGGGGRAAAGAGGAAAAAATAAGAGGGCAGAAAAAGGGAAAATCCTTTTCCTAGAGATGCAGCTCCATGCAGCTTCTCCTCCCTCTAAGCTCAGAGCCTTCAGGTGCTGGCAATTTGTGACACAAAAGCAGTGAGCATCTGAAACTGGGCTCCCACTGCCCACAGAATGTAGTAAATCTATTTGAAATCTCCCTGGTAAGCACCTGCCAAGCAGTGAGAGAGCTCAGCATTGTGCTGGCTCCCAGGGGTGCTGGGGCGATATATTCCAAGTTTGTGTTGTGCATGCAAGAGGCTCTGGCTGCTCCAGCCTGCTCAGGAAACTTCTGGAAATTCCTTAACCTGCAGGAAAACCCAGCACAGATACTCTCATCTTGGGGAAAAGCAGTTTTGATTTGCCTAAGCTGAACTTTGCAGACAGAGCTCAACTTCATCATGGCTCCATGAGTGGCAGGGTGTGAGTATCTACGTGAGACATGGATGTAAAGTTGTTAATCCACTTTGAAAATTAATCCCAGTTCTTCCCTTTTCTTCCCATACTCCTGGCTGGGAAGGGATTAAGCAAGACTGAGCTCAAGGGAGACAAGAGTTCAGCTGTGACATGTCTGTACACCCATGACTCCTGCCTCTGTGCATCTAAGCTGCAGTAAGCAAAGCAGGGAAGGGGAGGATGGAGAAGTGTGATTTTTTTCCCTGGATTTAAGGGAAGACAAAAAAGAGTGACCAGGAGACTTCCTGGAAGGAATTATGTAGGATGAGAGTTAGGGAAGCAGGAACAGTCCAGCATTGAGAGCTGGAGTCACCTGCAGTCTACTACTGATATATGGATTTACAGCATCACCTACCCCAAAAAGGGTTTTTCTTACCCCACAGAGGCTCAGCATCCACCACAAAATATACTTCAAATCAGGATGTCTCGCCACTACTGCAGCACATCATCCCCAGGCTTCCAGGGAAAGCAGMACCTACTTATCCCTGCCTGAGCACCACTTAACACTTTGGTTTGAAGGCATAGGGACACACCACTGTAAAAAATAAATAATAATAACAAGCCACAGTTGCCCCTGAAATAGGGCTCGGCTGGAAAGCTACTCAAACTAGCATTGCTAAAATTGGGACTTTCCTTGTTTTTTCAAGCAGCAGGGAACATGTTGGGCTCAGGGAGTTTAACAAGCAAGAGTCAAGCGGAAAAAATCTCTCCTTTTTAAGAGTTGACCACATTAACTTTCAGCAAGTTTCCGGGAGTCCTGCCAGAGCACTGGAGTTTTGTATACTACGGAACTGTTAAAAATATTATTGTAAATGTTATTTTCAAAAAGCTTCAGAGGCCAGCGCTAGGGTAGTGTTAAAAACAACAGCAAAGCAAATGGGATTGTTTTAATGGTGAGAACACGAATGTATGTGTGCTGATAGCTCAGGCAGCCTGCAGGCTTGGCAAAGAGGGATTCAAAGGCAGAGTGGTTGGAATATTACAGGTTTTCTCTGATCATCCCAACCTCATCCTTATAGTTTTCTCTCCACACTTTAGAGCATTTGAGCTGCTGTACTTAGAACTGTCCTGGGAACTGGACATATATTTTGGGAAACACAAAAGTTAATTTTGGTGCCATTTAGACACACAAGACCCTGCTCTCATGGCATTTTCCACCCAGGTTATCCCAACGATGCACCACACAGGGGAAGTTAAAAAAATAGCCATTTTAGACTGTATGGGGACATGGTTTAGCCATGGACTTGGCAGTTCTGGGTTAATGGTTGGACTCTGAGATGTAAAAYTTCTTTTCCAGCCTAAATGATTCTGTGATTCCATGTTCATGGAYATGCAGCTGGGATAGAATTTTTACAGACACATGTGTAACCAGGTCAGGTTTGCAGGTGTATCTCCCCTGAGAGCTCAAGGGACAAACTTCATGAGCCAAGATGAGAAGGAAAAACCCTTCCCTGATCAGGCTGCTGAGCAAGAAGTGACAGGCACAGACCAGATCATGGAAGGAGCCGGCCARTGCCTGGGAACTACAGCCCCTGAAACCCCCAACAATTCTGTATCAGCTGAGGCTCCTTTCCCCCAGTTTTGGCACAACACCCCAAAACTGCTTAAGAATCTTTCTCACAACATGTGAGAGAAGAGATGTGTGCTTGAAAGCCACTGTGCACCGTGGAGGGTTCCTCCAGCCACTGACACAGCCAGGGCAGCTGTACTTGACAGCTGCTTCAGGAGAAAACTCTCCTGAGCCATCCTGCTCGTTCTAGCACAACGTGTACATGGAACGAGGGCTTTAGAACCTGCCTGAGCCCTGCTAACTCCCACGAGAGCCCTTTGAAGGAGCCTTTGAGATCTCTTCTAAAACTAATCCTCTTCTCTGAAATTACTTCATAAATGAAAAGTTCCAGACAGCACGCTCCCCTAAGTTATCATAGAGTGCTCTGAGTAGGAAAGGATCTTAAAAGATCTTGTTTCAATTCCCTGCCATGGACAGGGACACCTTCCACTATCCCAGGTTGCTCCAAGCTCCGTCCAACTTAGCCTTAACACTTTCAGGGATGGAGCAGCCTCAGCTCCTTKGGGCAATCTGTGCCAGATTCCTCTCATGGAATAATTTATTCCTAATATCTAATCTAAACCTCTCCTCCCTCAGTTTAACTCCACTGCCCCCTTTCCTATCACTCCACACCTATGTRTGTAAAGTCTCTCCCACTCTCTTGCAGACCCTTTAGGTACTGGTATTTTTCTCAGTTAGTTCTTTTTCTTACTTTGCAGTAATATCCCTTTTACCAATGTCAGTGCAGTAATTTGTACTATATACTGGCATATTAAATAGCTTTGATTTTCCATACAGATCCCAAACTTCTGGAACAATAAAACAAAGAAGCAGATCAAAGGGATAAACTAAGGACTCTTCCATC